CCCACCCTTGGGAATTCAGAAGGTTGGGGTTTTAGGTTCTGTCACTACGGCATGTCATTATCTTCTCTGTACCTCACTGCCCTCATCTGTGTAATGGAGTAGCAAGAGCTGATCTACCTTCCCTTCCCCCAAAAGGATTTGTGAGGACCATGTTAATCAATGAATGCTAAGGCCTCTTTGAGACCTCACAGTGCCACAGAGGGTGAGCATGGGGGCTGTGGGAGCCATGAGCCTTTGTCCATCCACCCTTTCCTGCTTTCTCTGCATCTTGGCTTCCCCATCTGTGAAATGGAGATAATGTGCACCCAATTCCTGATGTCGAGCCAAGAGGCTTAATTAGATTTGCCGGGCTCCTTAGGGAAGGGAGGTATTTTCATTGTATTAGCTTCTTTTTCTTTCCCATAAATGTTTTAAAAGTCCCCAAGGAGGCTCTTCATCTGAGAAAGGTCAGCTTGCATTTTCACAGTTTTTTGGCAACCTCTCCAAGGACTTTTGGTGTCCTGAGCCTTCTGTGTGTGACAAGCCCACTACACCTTGTTAGCTTCTCTTGGGCCTATCCCAAAGGTGAAGAAGAAAGATGACTTCTGAGAGAAACAGCCACACTTTTTCCTTTATAGAAACTGTTCTAGAGTTTCTGCTCTGCAGCTTTTCCCCTTAGAGACACTTCTTGGTCTCAGTGAAACAGGTATATTTAGTTAAACAAATATGTACTAAATACCTGCTCTGTATAGAATGCTGCCTTTGCATCAACTTCAGAGATAAAATGCATCATAATCTCTCCGTCTAGAAGTGGTATAAAAGAAAACTCATTTCTTTCTTAGGTCACATTGGTTATTCTAGACAGAGCCTTCATCTGAATTTCTCATTTTCTCAGCTGCAGCCCAAATAGGGAGCCACCAGCCCTTGGCACAGGTGGGAGCTACACTGGATGCTGTCAGCCTGCTGAGAAGCCCTCACCTCTCCTTGAGTGAATGCGTGAGCTGGGCATGCTGCCACTGGGCAAGGGAGTGGTTGCCACTACTGATGCCACCGGTGGTCTGCTGGAGTGTCTGCCATATTGTCACTGCAGCCGACTCAGTAGAGACCTTGAAGGGCCCTTGGTTCTCCTTCAGTGGATTAGCAATGAGGCTGAGATGGCCTCTGCTGTCTCTCTGGAGGTGCACCGTGATGGTGCCTGCAAAACACAAGGAGAGGGGAGGGGGAAAAATGGGTGACATCATTGTGAATTGTAGTTTAATGGCATTGTCACCCTCCTCCCTCTCCCTTTGCTCCTCTCTCCAGGAAGAGCTATGGTGACTGGGCTGGTTTAGCTTGAACCTAATCCTGTTCCCAAATCAGCCCAAAGCCAACTCATAGTCTATAGAAAATAGCCTTGGGCCAACAGTCTTGGCATGGCTTCTGGTTTATCCCACTTAACTGCCCCTTCATGCTTCAAACAAAGCTAATCCTATACATTGCAGTTCCTCTGCACAGTGCACCCAATTGTGCCCAACCTTGGAGCATTGGGGCTGCTGGTCCTCTGTGAAGGGGGGTTCTGTCTGGTGTGCTGGTGAGGGTCAGTGTAGGAAGAGTGAGAAGTGTGCCTGCAGAGTGGCAATCAGGGAAGTTGGGGCCCATCCCTTTCCTCTTTGCCTCTTCCACAATCTTTTTTACCCCTTCGTTTTGTCATTACTGATCAGCTTCTTGGGGGGAGCCTTCCTTAAACAGCCTTCTGTGGCTCAGGCCTCTTGGTTGCCCCTCGTTTACCTCTTCCTTGTATCTGGTTCTAACACTAATACATGACGGTTTCCTTTGGATAGACGCGTCAGCACGTGAAGATGGTTCTTTGATATGAAGCTAAGGTTTGTGGGATTTCCCCAACGGATGTTAGCATCTAACCATCATTGTTTGTAATCAAGGCACAACATCCTACTCCAGTCACTGGTTGTGAAAGTGAAGAGAACACAGAAATTCATTCAACAAACATGCTAATTGATCTCTTCTGGGACATTGGTCAAGTTGGTAATTAGCTCTGGCATCATCACTTCTGTAGTCACTCTCCTTAGACTCTGCTCTAGTAGCAGAGCCCAAGCCTTCCTCCATGGAGTGTGGCATCCAGTGGGTGCCTGGCCTCCCCAGAGTTCTTTTGGAGAGAGAATGTTACTCTTGGTAGTGACACAGGAGATAGCCACACAAATGGTTTTGTGAGAATCCATGTCTTTAGAATATTTGGTTATCTGTTTATCCTGCAGCTGATGCTCTGAGTATTGTTTGGTTCCTCCCCCATCTCCACAGTCTACTCTCCTTCTTGCACCAGGGAGTTTCCTTGCTCTCAGAGTTCCCAATGAATTTGGCCAATGGGAGGCACTAGCAGGAGAAAGGTTGCGGTATTTACTCTACTTGTTCTTCCGTGTTTGCCGTGGTTCTGGTAGTGGCTGTGTTCCCCTCTGGACTCTTGCTGGGCTTAAGCCTAGGACTGATAACAGCTTCTCAGTGTTGCTAGTCCCTGGGTGTCACACCATCACTTGTTCCTTTAATCCTGCATGCACTTCTGCAAATTGTCCATTTAAATTCTCTTTAGTTAAACCCCTTTGAATATACCGTTTGTTTCATGCTGGGACCTTGACTGAGAGGGGAGGCTGCATGTGGCCATCTTCTCCAGGTTATTTTTCTCCCCCTCTTACCCAGGATTCAGGGATTCCAGGCCCCTCCCTAGCAGCTTCTTAAATCACCCTTGAAGTCTCTGAGATGGCCACTTGGTCACCTTCTCAGAGCAAGTGGTCATTTCTGCTGAGCAAGCAGTAAAGGCAGCTGATTTCCCTGCTCGTGTCTCCACCAAGACCTCCAGGGCTGGTCAGCACAGATACTCATTTTTGGGGCTGCTCTATAATTCAGCAAGCTGCTCTTCAAAGCTAGCCATGCCTTGTTCAGTGGTCCCCCTGGGCCAGTCCTGTCATCTCAGATTCCCAGTGCCCTAATTTTGCAGCCCAAGAGTGACGTTCAGTTCTCGCTATCTCCTAAAAAACTCCACTCTTCCTCACCCCAGCTCAGGCTCCTGTGTCCTGTGAAATAGTAACGGTAATTATGACAGTACTCTATACCAGCCTGATATTACAGCTGCCCAAACACTAGCTTTCATCCCTAGGCCAATCCCACCATAACTGTTCTGCTTATGAAAGCAAGGGGTTGATGCAGGTTTAGAAAATAATAGTAGTAGTAATAGGTAACAATATTATGTAATATTAGTTATGTAATAACTACTGTCTCTTACGCCTACTATGCACCAGTACTATTCTAGGTGCTCTTCATTTCTTATCTCTGAGTTGTAACAAGCCTGCAAGATAGCTGACTGTGGAAACTGAGACCTAGAGAGATTGAATAACTTGCCCAAGGCCACACAGTTGGCAAGAGGGCCACATCATGTGTGGATATGAGAAGGAACAAGCTGTTACAGTGAAGTGTTGACCAAAAAAGACTCTTTGGGAGGGTTTAGTGTCAAGCTTGTGTTTACCCTGCAGGTGCATCTCCAGTCACATTTGTTCTGGATCATTCCGTTCCATGGGAGAAAACAGAGAAGCCACTATCCCCCATCTCATGAGAGGGTCGTCAGCACAGAGTGCTGGGAGTGCCAAGAACGCAAGGAAAGGTGTTTACATTTCTAGTGGTTTCTTGAGGAGAGTTTCTGTGCTTGTTCCAGGGAGGAGGACTGATTTTCTGGAAACCAAAACCAGGCCCCAGAGCGAGCCCATCCCTCTAGGTGGAAGAGGAGGAGGACTCACTGGCCCCCATACTTATCCTTAGGGGGAACTCAGAGGCTTCCTGGCTGCTGGGGGAGCCTGAAATTGTTATGATCCAGGGCAGGGTCCTTTTGTATCTTTAGAGTTCAAGCCCTGCAGCCTTTCCTTTTATGCAGTTACTGTGAGATTATGGTGACAAGCCCACCCCAAACCACTGTGTTGGGGTGCTCCAGATCCAGAAAGCTCCCTGGAGGGACAAGAGATGTGACCCTCTCCACGTCTCCAGGCTCCAGCTCTTGTCTGATCTCATCAGTTCTGAGTGTCTGAATAAATGGAGAAGAGCAGAGGTGCAAATAACCCCAAACCAATAAAATCCAGAAGTCATTTCTATTTCTCATATTGTCAGAGCTGTGCAGCCAGACCGTGTCCCTGCCTTCTCTTTCTGTCTCTCTATGTGCCTGTGACCGTCCCTCTCTCTTACATGCCCACCCTCTATGATTTGGCTCAGCCCTTCCTTCCAAAGACTGGGCCCCATTGTATGAGACCCAGAGCAGACCAGCCCTTGCAAATAGTCTCAAACTGCCCACCCTTGACAAGAGCCACGTTAGTGGGATCGAGACAGCCTTGGGGCTTGGATTATTCTTTTAACCAAGAGCCATGTTGGCTGCAGCCTGGCCTCCAGCTTGCCCTGTGTTTCCCAGAATCTGTGGGGATGGGACCTTGAGGTTCATAGGGTCTTTGTACTCGCCCGGCCTAACTGATTGGGAGAGTAGGGGGTCCAGCTGGGGCCCAGCCAGAGCCTTTTGATGCCTGCTCTCTAGCCCCACCCCCTCCCCAATACCTCAGCCCAGATGAGCACTTACTGCCACGGTTGGCATGCCCAGAGCATCTCAGCAATTTCAGTTTGGCCGAGTCTCCGTGAATATTGTCATATATTTATTTTTAAGCTTGCGAGAGCATTTACATGTCACTGTCTATAATATGAATTGGACTCAGTCATTAACTAACTGGACCTAGGAGTATGTCCTCATGCACCCAGGGAGGCAGAGGGACCAAGCCCCCAGATGCTGTCATGCCTGCCCTAAGAAAGGCCCAGGGTGAGACTCTGACAATGGAATGGTGTCTCTGCTAACGTTCTCCCTGACAGTATTGTGGTGTACAGCAGGGAGGAGGGAGAGGGTGTGCTCTGTCATGTGCCATAGCCCCTTCAAAAACTGCCCTTTTTTCTAGGGGGCTCTTCCTGTTGGGGAGGAAAAGGGAGACCCCATGGCAGCCTCATGGGCATCGGAGTCTCCTTGACCTGAAGTTCTAATAACTGACCCCAGGAAAGTCATATCCCTCCTTCATTGGGTTAGACAACTCCCTGAGCACTGACATCCTAGGAGTCCATCTCTTCAGTAACTGTGTAGGTGGGAGCAGGCAAGCCCGTGTGACCAAGAACATCTACTCTGGAGCCAGATTCCAAGGTTTGATCCTGGCCCTACCTCTCATTGACTGTGTGGCCTCAGGCAACTCAGGAAACCCTCTCTGTGCCTTAGTTGCCTTATGTGTGAGGTGGGGCTAATAATCGTACCTGCCTCAGAGGGTTGTTGTAAGGATTACATGAATTAGCACATGATGACTATTGATAGTAGTGCTTGACACACAGTGAGGACTAATGGTTAGCTGAGGTTATTACTTACCAGGTGGAACAAGAAGCCTGAATAGCCTGAGAGCCCTTTCCTGCCTGCATCCTGACCCGAGTACCTCTCCTCCTGCCTCTCCCCAGGTGTCTGGGAATGTGAGGGTCTTGGTTCTAGGCCTTTCTCTAGTCCCCTTAAATGTGCATATTTTGTTAGTTGGTTCCTGGACAGTGGTGCCTCATGAATTGTGTTCTGGTCAGTGAATCAGTGTTTCTGCTTCATTAAAACCTCTCACCTGGGCATCACCCCAGCCTGTGGGCTCTGCCTAACCCACCATAGGTGGGATAGGTGATAAGCTATGTGGCTCTTCTGAGGATGCCACGAGAGGCCCTGACCCAGTTCCCTCCCGACTGGAGGCAGGTGGTGGAGTAGCCCTGTAGGGAGTGATACTTTAGTTATGACACCCTGGCTCAAGTTAATTTATTGAGTTAGTAGAGCCCCTAGGGGGTGGTACGCAGGATGGGCAAGGGAGAAGAGGGCAGAAGAAGTGGAGGTCTGGACAGTAGACCAGCACCTGAAGCCACCCATAAGTGGCTCCCCTCCCTCTCAGAAAGGTATGGGCCCCATGGAGACATGGAGCAGGGCTGGAGGGTCAGTGTGGGTCACCAGAAGACTGGCCCAGCCTGTCTGACTTGCCTGCTTTGCCTGTGGTTGCCCTGGCCATCTCTCTCAACTACAGAGCTGTGTAGAACAAGTGTGAAATGCTGCTGGCAGGAGGCTGCCCCATGTAAGGTCCTGCCACCCCTTTGCTGGGTTGAGTTCAGTCACGAAAAGACCGGCATTAATTCCAGTGGGTGCTCTGACAAGATGGGCAATGACCCACAACTGGTTGGGCAATACCCAGCCTGTGGATTTGAAGGGCCCCAGGGGAAGTCAGAGCTGGAGGACAGAGGAGACCTGTACAGGCAGCACACCGATCATGTCATGGCCTCCCCCATACCCCCCTTGAGGAAAGAGAGCCTTAGACCTGTGTATATGCCGATATTATCATTGCCTTTACCACAGATACTGAGACAATGAGGGCAGAAACTTGCAGCCATGAAGTCTAAAATCCTTTAAAGAAGGCCTTTCCCCTGGCCCTTGTCTGTCTCTCTGGCTGGCCTCCTGGCAGAGTCACACCCTGAGCCTGGTGAACTTCATGTACCAAAGGCTGGGTGTGGATGAAACAGTCGGCACCAGGATCTGGAGGCCTCCATAGTCCCCCTCCTGCCTGTAGGACTCCTGTCCAAGGATCTGAACAGGCTGAGGCAAACACTAGGCTTGATGAACCCTTAATTAGCCCTCTAATTGACCACCCACTTGGGGCTTTGCTAACTTGATAAATTAATTTGAGCCGAGGTATCATAACTAAAGTATCACTGCCTGTAGGGATGGATGTTCTATCACCTGCCTTTGGGCTTCACACAGGAGATGGTATTTCTAAGCCAATCGGGAAGGAACTGGGTCAGGGTCCCTCGTAGCATCCTTAGAAGAGCCCATGTAGCTGACCACCTACCCCCCCTGTGGTGAGGGTGAGGCAGAGCCCACAGGCTGAGGTGATGCCAGGTGGGAGGTGTTAATGAAGTCCTCTGTCCCCAGAACCCATTTTATGCTCAGGTGCAGACCACACACTAGTGGTCACAGTAATTTCCCCAGCTACACCTGGAAGGCAGCCCATTCCCCCATCTTTGCCCCTTTCTGTGGGAGAGTGGGAGTTCTTTTTTCCTAAACCTGCTGCTCATTTCTCCTTCACATCTTGTCCCAGGCCTGGGCCTCCTGAGGGAGGTTAAGGAGCCCTCCACCCATCCTGTGTTTAATCATCCATGATAACCTGGCCATCATGTCCCCCTGGCACAGACCAGAAGGCTCTTCAGGGTGGGCTGGGGTATCATTCTATCCCAATCTCAATTCCTCAATGCCTGGTGGCTTGAGCTAATTCTCGGGAGTCAAATGACCTTCAACTTGAGACCTGGAGGCTTGAGGAGTTAAGAGCAATGAGGACAATTAAGGCCATCACTGCTGTGGGAGAGGGCACATCTCCATAGCAACCCTATACACACTTCCAGAGCATTGAGGAAGTGGTGGGTGTGTGCAGACAAGCCTGGCAGCCCAGTGAGGCCTGGTTCCCAGACACTCACCTTTGTACTGAGGGGTAAACCGCTTCATGGCCAGTGGCAGAGACTCATAGAACCTCTGCTCCTGGGAGATAAGGGGCTTGCACACTGTGTGTTCATCATACTGCATCACACTCAGGTGCCCTCCAACCTGGTGCAGGAAGGGCTCCAGCTGCACGCCCACTCTTGTATTCCCAGCATCTGTACTGTCTTGCACAACCATGACGTGGCACAGGGAGTAGAGTGCCTGAAACAATCTGCACGAGGGAGGTGTGAGGGGAAATAGCGGCTCTTGGACACAACTCAGAGCTGTCAGAGATCCTCAGCTTTCTCCTTCTTGGCCATTATTGCTGTCATAGTGTAGTGGTTTCCCGTCTGTGTGCTCTCACTGAGGGCCTCTGAAAGCAGAAGAGGAAGGTAGAAATCGTATTAGGCAGGTGGTGTCCTGGGAGAAGCAGCCGTGGAAAGGCCCACACAGCCCCAGTCAATGCCCAGAGCAGGTTCCTCACTGGTAGTTAACCATGACTAAATATGCATCGATTACTTCTGGAATAATCTAGTATAAGAAGCTGGTTGTCTCCAGGAGCAGAGGTGAGAGAGGCTTTTCACACAACACCATCTTGTACTTCTTGAATTTAAATATTAAAACATTTAAAAAAATCAAACAATAGAAATAGCTGTAAGTTTCTCGAGTGCAGAGACTGTGTCTTAACTGCTCTTGGCATTTCTCCTTCCTCCCTTTGGGTACATCAAGCCCAGGTCCAACAAGAAGAGAGCATTCCTTGCCACTGGGGCACTCACTGTCTTGAGGGAGGTTGGGGAATAGGAATGTGCATCATCTGTTTGCCTCATGGCTCTGCTACATAATTGCTGTGTGACCTTGGGCAAATGACTAAACCTCTCTGGGCCTCAGTTTCCCCATCTGTGGAACAGGATGATAATGATACCTAGCTAATGGAGTTGTTAGAGACAAAAATAGAGATAAGCCCTGTGAAACAGTACAGTGTTCAGAACAAAGGGCTCGATCAATGTGATTTTCTATTATTTCTAACATTATTACCATGATGGTCACATTCTCACCACCACTTTGTAAATGAGGAAACTGAGGCCTGGGATGATTTGCCCACTGTCCTTGGCTATCCAGGAGCAGAGCTGGATGTGATGCAGGGGTCTCTTTATCCTCTGGGCCCAGTCCTTCTCCTCTACCTGCTGCTCCCATTACCCTCCTCCAGGTGGCTTTTCCAGATCTCAGGCTTACACTGGGTCTCTGGGCTGGACATGCAGCCCCTGTGGACATCCTGGGCTTGGTTTCAGGAGAGTGCCCAGGAGATTCTCCTTGCTCAGCTCATCCTGTCTCAGAGGACGTCCCCACAGCAGTGCCCCTCACTGCCTAGTTATTAATACTCTCTCTCTCTCTCTCTCTCTGTTGGACTCTTGGCCAAGCATTCTACCAGGCTGGGGCAGTGCTGGGCATGATTAACACTCTAATTGACCTTCAGTGTGGGCCCCAGGCACAGCCGGCTGGCTCCACATTCAGTGCCATCAGTCAGTTTGCTCAAATCTTGGCTCACCCGCTTGGGCTTCTGCCTGGCTCAGTCATTCCCTGACTCTTAGTGCCTCTCCCACATTGGCTCCTGTCTTGCAGGCCTGAAGTGCCCATTTCAGGGAATGGAGGGACAGGACATAGGGTAAAGACTTCTAAAAGGTACCTGTATAGCTATAATATGATGGGGAAGGATTGAGGTTGCTGGGGTGAGGCTCTAGCGTGAGAAGGACTGAGGCCTAATGGTGAATGGCTGTGCCTGAGAAGACAGCCTAGGCCTTCTCCTAGCTCTGCTGTAATGCAGCACAGAGTGAGCCCCACTGGGAGAAAAGAAGTTGGTGGGACCAGAAACAAGCCCATGGATGAGTTGATATCTTCAGTCTCCTTTGGTTACTGGGCAGGATAGCACAGTTGTTTGGCAAATCCAATCCTACCTTCAAATTTGGAGGTGAAGAAGGAAGAGAGGACAGGCAGCCTGACACCCCTTCTGTCTCTGGGCTCACTTACATGCTACCCTTTGCCAGCTGACCTGTCCCTGGAGGGAAGGAAGCAGAGGCACTTCTGGTAACCAGTCTGTAAAGTTCATTTATAGCCATTCCTGGAAGGAGCCCAGGTCCTTGTCCCTCACACGTCTCCCCAGGGCCCGGCCCAGCACTAAACTGACCTAGCTTCCCGAATATGAGCCAAGTTCTGCCGACTGATCCACACGGTGTCCCAGGCAGGCCCGCATGCTGACTCTTCTTCCTTCATGCACTTGTCCCTCCAAGGAACTCTAAGGGCATGGCCATCACCTCACAGTGGCAGCATGGGATGAAATAATTAATGGTAGCAAGCACATAGTGTTTGCTGCATGTCTGGCAATATTCTCAGTACTGTATATAGATTAACCCACTTAAGCATTTCAACCATTCTGTGAGGTAGAGTATCAACCCACCTTACAGATGAAGAAACTGAAGCACAAAGAGGTTAAGTAACAACAGCTATGTTCACTCAACTAGTTTGGGGAGAGCAGAGATTTGAACCCAAGCACTTTAGCCCCAGAGTTAGTGTGTTTACCTGCCATACTGTAGGGAGGCTGAGGGTTGGTGTCTACTTTGAAGATCAGGAGAATTGAGCTCTAAGGAGGCAGGGACTTGGTCACAGCCACCTGCAAGTCACTGGCAGCATTGGGTTTGGGACTCAGTTTTTTCCATTCCCTAGACCTGGCCTTTCCTACTGTGACTAACCCCTGGCCTATCCACTCCTACCTGATGGTAGTAAATGCAGGTCCTGGTGACAGTCAGGCTGGAGTGGAGAGATTGTCACTCTCATACCTCTGCTGGAGCCATAGCGAGGGGTCAGGAGGGAGGCCCACCTAGAGCTGGTCTTAGTATTGACTTGCTCTGGGGCTTTCTGGCTGGGATGTCAGCCAGACCTGAGAGAGGCTGTCATTCCCAGCACCAATCCAGTTCTTTCTATAACCTTGTGATTTCTCTCCCCACTTCCAGCTCTGGACATCTCAAGAGCACATGTGGTGCAGTAAATTGCTTGGTGTGGCTCTTCTAGCCTTGGTCTTTGTGACTCCCACCAGATAACTGGGTGGGACTATGCAAATGTGAGGTACTTTGTGGCCTACTAAGAGGCTTGGAGGGAGCTCTGGTAGCGTAGTGCCTCAGGCACTTGACTGCTAACCAGAAGGCTGGCGGTTCAAACTCACCAGCCACTCCTTGGAAGGAAGATGGGGCAATCTAGTTCCGTAGTGATACTGCCTCTGAAACCCAAGGAGGGGTTGCTATGAGTTGGGTCCGACTTGATGGCACATAACAACAACAACAAGAGGCTTGGATAGCTTGCTAATGATGTAAATAAGATACATGACACTCTTGTGTGGGTGGGACCATACAAATAATATGTTTGGAACCTTAACATGGGGATTGATCAATTTTGCCATACCACTAGGCTTAAAATAAGCCATACCAGAGGTGGTAAGGGCGGGGGGGAGTCTCACTATCATCAAGAAAGAAGAACCAGGAGTAGAGCGAGTCCTTGGACCTGAGATCCCTATGCTGAGATGGCAGAGAGATGGCAGAGAAATGGGGTCAGAGAAACCACAGCAGCAGAGGCAGCAGAACAAGAGACTGGAACAAGACAGAGCTTCAGGCTTCCTAGCCCATGGAGTGAGAAACCTGAGCGCCTTCAGGCAGGAGCTTGCTGGTGTAGTGGGGTACCTCTTTGGGCACCTATCAGTAGAGCTAAAAGAGCTTTGTAACACTTGCATGAGAAGAGAAGAGGCCATGCAGTGGGGCCAAGAGCCAAAGAGAGGTGTGCCTATGGGCATGGCTGAGAGGAGGCTGTCCTGATCCAAGAATTGTATCCTTAGTGCTCCTGAACTTGAATTAGTAACTATCACTTCCCTAATAAACCCCATAATTGTGAGTGTTGTGTGTGAGTTCTGTGTGGCCATTGCAACAAATTATCGAACCTAGTAGGGAAGTCATGAGTCCCATAGGAGGGACGGTTGAGGTCAGAATTGGTAAAAAGAGTGGTGGCATGTCTGACCTCCACCTCATAAGAATCAGCCTGGGGTTATTGATGTACATCTTGATTCTCTCTCCTCCTTGTGAAGTTAGAGGAGGTCAGATACCACTGTCACTGCAATGATGTTTTTACAGCCCTACTGTATCTTCTCAGCATGGAGCAAGCCAGGAAGACCCTGAGCCTCCAAGACAGTCTGCAATGCAAACATAGCAATGCAAATTCGCCTACCCCTAGACTTGGGGTGGATTGACAGTAATTGGGTGTCTTCCAGGCAGCCAGCCTGTACTTTTTAAAAGTCTGGGCATGGCATCTGGGAAAACTGAGACCTTTTATCTCAAGGGTCATCTGAAGGGGTAGATAAGGTGACATCTGAGGGTCCTGCTGCTGCTGAGCTGTGTGGTCTGTGATTCTGACCTACATTGATGGGGAGGGTGGCCCCAGCAGTTGGCCATAGGCCCGAGCTGGGCAGCATGGGTTTCTTTGGCACTGATGCTGACCTTGGACCACCAAGGAAGCTGAAGTTTTCTGTTGGTTGCTGTCCTTTTGTGCAGCCTCTTGGTCTGTACAGGTGGGCTAGGGAAGGCCTCCAGTCTTCCTGTTCCCTCCATGAAGTCCCATAAATAATTCAAATTGACAGGACCTTTCTCAGCCTAGACCTTCCTTTTGCCACCTGCAGGCACTTTTGTCATCAGCATGGCCTTGGCCTTTGACCAGTGCCACTGTGCCCCGTTCTGTTTCTTAAAAGTACTGGGCAAGGAGTCAGGAACCCAGAATCTGTCCCAGGCATCTCCACCCACTCACTGAGGCACCTGGGACGAACTGGGTCACCACACTGAGCCTTGGTTTCCACCCACTGCCACAGTCTTGTCACTATGCTCAAGTGAAAACACACTCAGGATCCTTTGTAGAACTCTTTTCCCAAGCATCTCCACCACTCAAGGCATTTGTCACTGTGTGGGTTATTCTCAGGACTGGCTCCCATGAGTCAGCTTTGGGGGCTGGGAAGGCAGGTGAAGCTCTTGCCTGAGATAGGGCTCACGCCCCCATCCTGACACACTTGCTGAATACCCTAGGCTCCCTTTAGTGCTTTGAAGGGAGACAAATGTCCCTTTCTGAAGCCCACACCTCCTTACACAGACCCATGGCCCACACCCCCACCCAGC